TTATTGTTACTATTAGTAGTAGTAGTATTTAATTTTATTTCAATTATTAAACTGTTTTTATCTCAACCCATGGGTTTTCTCACTTTTACTTTTCCGATTCTCTCCCCCATCCCACCGGGGGGGAGTGAGCAAGTGGCTGTGTGGTGCTCAGTTGCCGACTGAGGTTAAACCATGACAGAGGCCACGTACACAAGTCCCATACTGGTATACTCCTGTTGCAGTCACTCCTGATGTCCAGGGAGAAGAGCTAAGCCTCAAACTTTTATGGATGACTCTAAGTGTAAAAAAGCAGCAGTGCAGCCTGGACATTTTTCCCCTCTCCTCAAACATGAGGCTTTTACGTTGTGCTTCACAGAAAAAAGAAAAAAAATCTTCTCAGCGTGATGTCAACAGTCTGAAGACTTGGCTTCTTCCATGCTCTCTTCCTCTTTAATGCTCTCCCCAGAGCAGCTGTCTGTCCTCCAGCCCTTCCTGTCCGCAGCCAGCATCTCTTGGGTACCACTTCCTTTGTGCCATTCCACATCGACTCCCATCTGTTCTGGGATGCCTTTTGCTGGTTGCTCCCCATTCAGCTGAGCAAGTCCAGCTCCACCCTCCCAAGCACCCAGCACCCTGGATCAAGGAGGGGCACCCATGCAGGATGAGATCCTTTGCACTGTGTGCCTAGTTTATCTGTAAGCAGCTGCACAGCCCGACTGCCTTTTAAAGTAGCCACCTCCATGGTGCCACGCCGAGGAGCAAGGTGCCAGTGACATTTGCTCTGCGAAGAACGCAAGGCAAAAATGCCTTTGTTTTAGGGAAATGGTGCCCCAGGGCAGCGATGGCTGCAAGGGACGAGGTAGGGCACGTTTGCCAGATGATGGCCCTTTGGGGATACCGATCAGTGGTGCAGTGTGCAGCAACTGGAACCCAGCCAGACCCCTGCACCACTTTTTCCTTTTTTTTTTTCCTCCCCCCTCCCCTCTTGCAAAAACTAAAGCCTGCGTGAGATCCAGCCCATCTCCCCCCTCCTTCCCTCTCCCCTGCAAGTTTTGTGGCTCAGCCAGCACTGCCACCGGCCAGCACAGGCTGCTTGGGAGAAATTAGCGATAGCCAGTTCCCAGCAGGCAGGGTTCCTGTTCCTGCCTGCGATTTTGCATTTCTCAGAGCGTTGTTTCTCCTGCGGCAGCGCAGTCCTTTTCTGGGAAGGTTTTGTATTTGCCAGGAGAGGCATGAGTATAGCGTGAGAGGAAAAACACCGATTGCCTTTGCTTGGCAGCCCAGTATTACTACTGGGCTTACTTCTTCGGTGTGTTATCAACATTATTCTCATCCTAAATCAAAAACACAGCACTGTACCAGCTACTAGGAAGGAAATTAACTCTATCCCAGCCGAAACATTTCCCCATGTTTCTACATGTCTGTGTGGAAATACTCATCTGTGTCTTTTAGAGAGAAGCAGTATCTTTTTGGAAGGGGCAAGGGGGAAGGAAGAAGTCAGGCTCCTGTGTAATAGATAATGTTTTACAAGTGCTGCTGGCTGTCGGTGGTCTCCAGAGGATCCAGGACACGGGTGCTGGTACTGGGAGAAGCTGGGCAGAGCTGATTACTTAGAGGAGAAAGGGTGGGCAGGAGCTGAGCAGATGGTAAAGGATGGGGAGGACGAGGGCAGGTGACAAGGACTAGCTGTGGGAAAGGGGGGTAATTCCCAGCACTGGGAGGGGAGAACAGAGCTGTTTTTGGTTACCTGGTATGGGAACACCTCGTCTTCCTCTCTGGCAGGCATCACTCTGAGATGCACTGCCTTCAAGTACCACTTTTCTCAGCTGGTATGCTTGCGCAATGTCCCCTTCAACCTGACGAAGATGATCCACCAGGATGAATGGCATCTACTCCGTAAGTGTTCAGCATGGCCCACCCCTCCCTGGCGAGGCCTGCAGCTTGTGCTCTCCCTTTCACATGAAAAACACAGCAATGAGATGCTAGTTTACAGAGGAGGGGGCTGAGGAGGCAGGAGCCCACCGGGGCCCAGCCATCAGCAATTTTCACCCTCATTTTCACTTGCAGGCCACTACGGTTGGTCCAGGAAAGCATGAACACCACACACAAGGGTTTTTAAGCTTGTTGAATGTAACCTGCTTTTAGCCACCTTTCACAGGCAGATCACCTCTCCCCTCGCCTCTCTAGGGGTCTGCAGACACCAGCTTGAAAACCTGCGTTCTGGTGTCATTGGAAAAGGTCCAGCAGAAGACGTGTCAGAAGCTGACGACAGAAGCCACGTGCTAAACAATTATGGCAGAACCTGTCTGCATGGAAACTCCCAGGCATTTAGAAACTGGAGCATTTCTGTCCATCCAAGTTACTTTAAATTTAAACTCTAGAAGGAAATAGAGAACAAAGAATGTATCACGGTGTGTCTGCATAAAACCATGCTGCACCCACATCCTGAAGGTCATACGGCTGAAGCCGTATGATTATATGGTTCATATGATAGTGGGAAGTTTATAGCACAACTACAAAACCGCTAATTTGTAGCAGCCTTGCTACAGGATCACCTTCTACTTACATGTACTCACTTGTAGGTCTGGGATTACTCCTACTGTGGATCTGCCCGGCATGGGCCAGCTGCACTCATGGCTATTTCTAGGTGTCCCTCCACTTTCTCCTGCACTGGAAGGCTTGTCCATGGTAACACCCACTCTTAATTTCTTGGGTTTGGTGGAAACAGACTTGAGAAGGATCACAGCCAGAGTCCTGGGCATGGCTGCAGCTGTTCTTCTCTGCGGGTGCATCGTGGCAGCAGTCAGCTTCTTCTGGGAGGAAAGCCTCACCCAGCACGTTGCAGGTCTGCTGTTCCTGACAACAAGTAATGTGTCATTCCAGCATGCTAATTACGGATGAAGGCTTCACCAGGTTTCCCTCAGGTAGGCAGCACATGCTGCCAGTAAGTGGAGCACGCCTTTCCTTCTGATCTCCACTTACTGTGCCTTGCATGAAGTGAGTCACTTACTCATACAAGTGGAATAACCAATAATTAGAAACAAAAAAACTGTGAAAAATGCTCTAGACCTCATGCACCAGTAGGAAAGGACCACGGGGCTAAACAACTGCTCCCTCCTCTTTACATATGAAGTGCTCTCTCTCTTCTCCAGAACAGAACAGTCCCTCGCTGCAGTTTGCAGTCCTTGCAGACGGTGGACTAAATATTTCTTTTAACACTGAAGTAGGAAAGGGGAATCCTTTAAAAAAAAAAAGTCTTAGTCATAAAATTAGAGGTTGTTTAGAGGGGGAAGAAAGGTAAACTCTGCAAACATGAAGCCAGCATGAGTTTGAACCATCCAAACTCACAAGGCTAAGCACAACACCTTCTCTTGTGCCAGAGGAAATATTTTGATTTGAGCAGCTGTAACGCACAGCACAGCTATATTTTTTTAATACATTTGGAAAACACAGGCCTGAGGAAAGGCTCATTGTGCATGGCTAATTTAGCTGCTTAATGAAAAACATAGCCTAATGAAAATCGCTTAAGGAAAAGTGACTCTAAAGAAACCCTAGGCTGGAGAAGGGTGTTGGCAGAGAGCTGGGGAGTGATTTAGCCTGAATGGTTCCTCTGCAGCGATATGTGGAGGGCCACCCGTGGAGGTAGATAACCTGCTCAATAATCTCCAGATCAGATTACATGCAGCACACGCAAACCAATTTCCCCTGGCTGCTCTGACGCATGCAGCAGGCTCTGCTCCCACAGAGGGGATTTGGCATCACAACGCCAGCTTGCAAGATGTGATTGCGTCCCGTGGGTCAGATCTGATCACAGATGGAGGCTTTGGCTACCTTGCTCTGTTCGAAGAGCAGGCATGACCGAAATCAGAGAGAAGACTCTCTTGTTCTTAAAAGTAGCAACCAAGAAGTTTGCTGGATGCAATTCACAACCACAGAGCTAGGGCTTAGCCTTGCATAACTGGGTAATACGTGAAAACTTTATGAATGCTGGTAACTATCACCTGTGTGCTACCCAAGATAACTTATACCAACAAAGCTGGGTGCAAGTTATTTGATTAGTAATGCCTAACATTGATTTTGTTATTCATGCTATGCTACATCTCAAAATAACATGATTATTTCATCATTTACAGGAATATTTTGCACTATATCTCTGTGTACCTATGCAGCCAGCATATCATATGACCTAAACCACCTCCCCACATTCATCTGTAACCTTCCCAATGATGTAGAATATGGATATAGCTAGCTTGTATTTTGTGCTTGTAGTCTGGGATTTACAGTAGCAGCCGGGTATCTTTGCACAGCTTTCCCGTTTGTTAGCAGAGGCAACATTATGCAGCTAAAGTCCACCAGAGACTCCTCCGTATGACTGCCCACCTGCCACCAACACCCTTCAGTGATGGCTGAACAGTATTTTTCAGGATTTACTTGAAGAAGCAGAAGTGAAGGGAAAACTAAACTCAGGATTCCAAGCACCAAAGCCTGATTCTTCAAAATCTGACTGTTGTGTTTTACTGGTTCAGCAAGCTGTTCTCTCATGCTGCCCAGCAGAGAGATTTGAAAAGGAGACAGCTCTCAGAGGACAGAGATGGCTCAGGATCAGATGCTTCAGTTCAGCATGCCAAGTCCATGCAGAGGAAGATATTTGCACTGGAAGGTAAAAGGGGGAGGAAAGTTGCTGTAAGAATTTAGGCCTATTTCTATTTTTCAAGGATCTGTACATAAAGAAATTAAGGAAAAGTCACTGTTGCCAAATGAATCCTAGTCAGAATTATACACCCTTCCCTAGGGCATCATCTGTAACGTTTTAATTCAGCACCTTCTGCACTTGAACCTAAAGGAAGGCTTTGGTGCCCCTCTCCTCCCAAAATGCCCAAACAGACCTTTTTCTTTTAAATCAGTGCATGCCTATGTCTCTTTGTGTATCCTTTGTACATGAAGTTCCTGTGTAATTTGTAAATAACCAAGATTTGCATTCTGAGCACCTGAGCTGCACTGTGAGAAGGATTAAATTACTCCTGTCCATTCCTGGATGGTCTCTGGGTTATGAGGCATTTGTCAAGCTACAGTATCTGTAGTAAAATACCTACCTCTGTCAAAAGCATTTGTGTCAACTGCAATTTCACGGCAATGGGGAGATGTCAGAAGGGGAGTGGCTTTGCATTTTCCAGCGCTTAATGGCAAGGACATGCGAGTTAACAGATGAGAGCACCACACTGACCTATCAGTGTTGTGGTTTAACCTCAGTCAGCAACTGAGCACCACACAGCCGCTCTCACTCCCCCAAAATAACAACAACAATAATACTAATGTAATAATAATAATACACAAAGCAAGTGATGCACAGTGCAATTGCTCAGCACCCGCCGACTGATGCCCAGCCAGTCCCCGAGCAGCGGCCCCCCCCAGCCAGCTTTCCCCGTTTATGTGCTTCATATGAGTAACAGATTATCCGTTTGTATACACATCATGCAAATGCTTGTCCAAAATAACATCTGAAATTGTATATATATATCCAATTGTATGTTATGTACTTCATATGAGCTGACATTCATAGACTTCAGTGCTACGTTGATGCATCTGTCACGACTCATCCAAAGCTACAATCCTCTGCCATCACCTAAAAGCCAGTGTTGCCCTTGATGTACGGCATCCATACATTCATTGCCAGAGCAGTGTTTCACACCTGCGGGGCACAGGGAAAAAGTTGGCCAGGCCCCTGGAAGGTCCCCCAGGCTGCCTTGCAGAGGGCACAAGCTCTGTCAGGAACGGAGCAGACACTGCTGATGGAGCAGAGCGATCAGAGAAGCCAATTCTGCTGTAAGGGTGGATGGTACAAGGTGAACACAAAAGGGAATGGTGGGGGGGAAGAGGGTCAGGTACAGACTACCGTGAGCATAGGGCTGGGAAGAAGGGAGGTTTGAGAGAAAGGTTGGTTGAAGGGCAAAGGGATGGGAGAGGAAGGAAGGGGAGGTGAGAGGCAACGGTGGTAGAACAGAGAAGTATTGCCTTAATGCAATAACCATCAATTAAATGACAGCAGAAAAAGTCAGGGCCAAATTAGGCTAAGAAACACAATCATACAAAGTAGATGAAAACCCAACAGATCAATTAATTGATCTTAGAGCAATCAAGATGCCAGGAAGCAATGGCAGGAGAAACCAGCATCAGCACTAAGCACAGCTTTGGGGCCAGCCTTCCCTGCATTTCTGTGCTTGGCTTCACCACTGAGCACAGAGCAGTGTTTCTCAGCAAACAGTTAGGTCCTGTTGGAGTCAGCTCATACCTGTTTATGTGGTTGTCTTGTCATACACAGATCAAGGCAGAAATAGTCTCTCCAAGTGGTTTATACATCTACTATAACACCAAGAAGGTTTAACTTTGTTCCACCTCGGGTGAAGAGCACGAATAGCCATGGGTGACACTAAACTGTGGGGGTGGCTACCATAATGAATGGCAGAACTTCTGCCCAGAGGGGCCTCAGTCAACTTGAGAAGTAGCACCTCGTGGTGTTCAAGGAGGAGATGAGTAGAGCTCTGCCTGTGGGGTGACACAGCCCTGTGCATTCAGCCAGGCTGGGAGATTCAAGCTGGGCAGCTGCCCTGCTGAGAAGGGCTTGGGGTTACAGCAGATAACAGGCTGACCATTAGCCAGAAGCATGTTCCCATTGCAAGTAAGACAAACAGGCTACACTAGGAGTCACATAGCTAGCAGAGCCAGAAGAGTGATTTTTACCCTCTGTTCAGGGCTGGTGAGGCCTCACCAGGATTTGTGTCCAGTGTTAGGTCCTCCAGTTCAGGAGGGATGTGGGAAAACAGGAGAGGGGCCAACAGAGGCTGCAAAAATGGTTAGGGGCCTAGAGCACAGTACCTGTGAGGGGAGGGAGCTGGGCTTGAGTAGTCTGGTGAAAAGGAGGCAGAGGGGGCATCTACCAGGAGCCCGTGACTGCTTGAAAGGCAGTTATAGACATGAGACAGCCAAACTCCTGCAGCGTCAGACAATGCAGTGAGGGACAATAGCCACAGATTGCAGCTTGGGAGGCTCACACATAAGGAAAGCTTCTCCCCCAGGAGGGTGGTGTCCCCTGGGACACGTAACCAGAGAGGCAGCGATCTCCATCCTTGGAGGTTTAAGAGTTGGCTAGACAAAGCCCCAGCTGACGTGATCTAGCATTGGCAATAGGCCTGCTCCAACGGGGAGGCTGGAGGCCACCAGAGGCCCCTTCCCACAGGCGTGACAACTGCGGCTCCACAAGCAGTTCTCAACAACAGTAAGTTTTAGTCTCTTGAAATACAATTAGCCTTAAGATTAAAGTCTCCTCCCTTACCCAGCCAAAGCACCTTGTCAGAATCAAGAAAAAAAAACCCAAGGAAAAAAAAAAAAACCAAACCCACTCCAAACCACAGACACACTACTAATCGTATCTCTGTACTAATCACGGCAGAGGAACACAATGCACGAGTCCATCCCAGCTTGCCAAGTTGCAAATACTTGTCCAAAATAACATCTGAAAGCAATTTGCAGTCATTCTCTATAAAAATACTTCCCTGTCAGCTCAGCAGCCATGGGAAATCCTTGAATTAGACTATTCCACCCCCTCCAAATACCTTCTGCATAGACTAAAAGAACTGCTAAGACCTCTCTCTTTTCAGGAGAATTTTTCCATATGCTTCTTTGCAGGTAGAAGTCACATTTAATTGTTCATCCACTTGGCAAGTTTTTCCATCTTCCACATTGTGCCTTTGGAGTAACATTATCAAATGAGGAAAAGCGTTATTTTTGATAGAAATAAGTCTCTTCACCCTAAAAACCTAAAGCATACCCATCAGACATATGCAAATGCTGCAAAGAATTAGTACAGAAAATAGTTTATTTTCTACTCCAAGCAATCTCAATAGCAACATTTCAAACTCATCAGAAATGAGCTTTAAAGTAATACTGCAAGACGCATGGTAAAGCAAACATTCAGCTCTCAAAAAGAGCTGGGGACTTCTTCAGACAAGATGTTTTTCCTAAAACATTGCTGAAGGTGAAAATCCATTTACACTTAATATTACCACATTTGGTTTTGCAGTTCTGCAAATGAAGTCTTTCTCTCCCAAAGAAAACTCCTCCTGATACTGAGAGGCTTTGCCTAAACAAGGATTTGAGGGCTCTGTCTCATTACAATATTCTACAGTAAAAACATCTGAAACACTAGTAGGCATCTTCCACCTCTCCTAAAAACCAAAAAGCAACACCTTTGGACATCCAAAGAAAGTGAGGTGAGCTAACAAATGGCACAGGGTTCATTTGGATCAGCAGGGTTCCACCGGATCACTGCCATGCTGCTTTTCAAGTGTAGCAGGATTCAAGTTCACGTAGGCACAGTGCAAGAAAGTTGCTGATTCCCAGCAGTAGAGATCTTCCTGTATTTGTATATGAAAGCATCAGTCTTTCCCAGACTAACCCCATAGACGCCATCTGGCACCAGAGACCCAAAACATCTCTGTCGGCTGCTCGGAAAGGATTCTTCAACACCATTCCCCAAGGAGGAAGAATTCCCATCAATATTCAGGGCTTTTGCAGTGGCGGTTTCACTTGCGCCATCAGAAATAGCATTAGGAGACACATTTTCAGCACACTTGGTAATGCCATCCATGCGCTTATGGAGATCTTGGCTCAGCAGCAATACAATAGTGCCTCCAACACGAAGTACTCTGGCAATTGCAGGAAAACTGAAGGTTAGGCGTTCATCCTGCCTGGCATTCATTCACCCGTGCAGAACTCAACACTGCTGACACTTCAGATGCCAGTTGTATTCGATAAAACACCTAAAGACGTTAAGGGTCATGGCTCAACTCGGTAAGCTATGTCTCCAAATGGAATTTAAATGCCCTATCTTCATAACTCTTCCTAAATGGGAGAACTGGGCCCTATCCCGACTCCCAAACATTTCTGACCTTGGGAGTTCTTTCCATGGCGTTAGCAGGGAAGATGGACCCTATTTTTTCACTCTTAGTATTCTTCCAAGGATTGAGGGCAGTTATCACTTTCAAATCCTGTTTTTGGGTTGCATGAGCCTCCACCAGTCTGCAAAGGAACAGCTTCCCAGGGCAGCAAGAGCTTTTCAGGTTGATAAGGCAATCCTGAAGCTGGCCTTTCCCTTTGGAAACTTTAAAAGGTCTGACCTTTCCATGTTCCACTGATCCTTAATGGCTTTCAAACTCAGGAAACAGAGGAAAATTTACCATTGTTTGCAATCCATTTTTCCTTGTACATGAGGAAACGTTACACTTGGCTTTGAAAGGGGGGGGT